CCGAGCCAGGCCAGCTCCCAGTCCCCATTCCCAGGGTCTGGGATCAGGGGATGGAAGATTCCAGTTCCCCACACGGGGTTTTCCCGTTTTCTCATGGGGACAGCCCAGCTGTGCCCAGAGGTCACACCTGGATGTGCCACACCCCCCTGGGGACAGGTCACACCTGAGATGGGCTCCAGTGTCACCTCCCTGGGACAATCCAGCTCCAGACCCCGGACCAGGACACCCTGGAGAGGATCTCGGGATCTTCCTGAGGCTCTGGAGGAAGAAAGGGGACACAGGGAAATCCCATCCTTGCAAATTCCAGCAAATTCCTGCTGGGCTGGGGCTGGGCCAGGCTCTCACTGACAACAACAAGGCTTTGAATGTATTTTAAAAAAAATCTTTATTTGATTTAATTTTATTTAATTCCTCCCTGCTGCGTTTGCCCCAGCCCCGAGCTCACACTGGGGGTGAAACACCTCAACTTTAACCACATTGAACCAAATTTTCCTCCACTTTAACTACATTGAACCAAATTCAACCACATTTAACTAAATTTTCATCCACTTTAACCACATTTAACCAAATTGAACTACATTGAACAACATTTAACTAAATTTTCCTCCGCTTTAACCATATTTAACCACATTTTCCTCCACTTTAACCATATTTAACCACATTTTCCTCCACTTTAACCATATTTAGCAATATTTAACCACATTGAACCAATTTTTCCTCCATTTTAACCACATTCAACTAAATTTTCCTCCACTTTAACCACACTTAACCACGTTTTCCTCCACTTTAACCATATTTAGTAATATTTAACCACATTGAACCAAATTTTCCTTCACTTTAACCACATTCAACTGAATTTTCCTGTACTTTAACCACATTTAACCACATTTTCCTCCACTTTAACCACATTTAACCACATTTTCCTCCACTTTAACCAGATTTAACAATATTTAACCACATTTTCCTCCACTTTAACCATATTTAGCAATATTTAACCACATTTAACCAATTTTTCCTCCACTTTAACCGCATTCAACTTAATTTTCCTCTACTTTAACCACATTTAACCACATTTCCCTGCACTTTAACCACATTTAACCAATTTTTCCTCTACTTTAACCACATTTAACCACATTTCCCTGCACTTTAACCCCATTTCCCAGGGAGCAGCAGGTGTGGGGTGGGATGTGGGAACACTTGGGTGCTTCCCCAGCCCGGGGGCTCAGGAGAAGCGGCCGGTGGGCAGGCGGGGCAGGCAGAAGAAGGC